AAAATGTCTTTACTGAAAGAGTGGTGAAATATTGGAATAGGCTGCCCAGGGAAGTGGTTGAGTCCCCATCCCTGGAGGTATTTAAAAGACGTGTAGATGAGGCGCTTAGGGACATGGTTTAGTGGACATGGTGGTGTTGGGACTCGATGATCTTAGAGGTCTTTTCCAACCTCTATGATTCTATCTGCGGGGCTTTGCAAGAGAGACGTGCTGTTGGGGTAAGCAAGACCGTATCTCTGGAGATACCGTGCTTCCTTACGGCTTTTGTATGCCCAGTGCACGTGCTGGAGAAGCTGGCCAGCCCTCCTTGCCCCCCATGGGGTCCTGGCTGTTGGAACCAGAACAGAGACATTTAGGCTTTGAATCGCTCACTGCATGTTTTTTCCCATACATATTACACAGTTTGGATCAAATTCTGGTCCTGACGCATCCAAAGAGCCCTGGTAGGAGTTTTGTTGCAGTGTGGGGGATGGTGAGATGAAGAGGACCGAATCCCGGGGAGCGGGGATTTCCCTGGGTGGCAGAAGCAGCGACACAGCTTGAGGGGACCCGCTTCGAGCCTGCCTAAAATGGACACTGTTTCTTGTGTTTCTGTAGGTTAGAAATCTCTGTTACATGGTGACGAGACGGGAGAAAATGAAACACACCATTTGTAAACTCCAGGAGCAGATCTTCCATCTCCAGATGAAGCTTATTGAGAAAGATCTTTATCCAGGTCAGTACCGCTTACCAGAGCTTGTTCTCGCAGACGCTGTCCCTGCCATCCTCTGAAGCCAAAGACTCGTGCCCACGCCTCAGCCCCCCACCCCAAGGAAGCCAGAGCTGCCCCCTCCCCTGCAGTGTTATTTAAGCATTAAGGTTCGTATGTTGACTCTTTGCACATCTCCGGTTTTGTTCAGAAACACACAATAAAGCCATACTCTGGGTGACCGGAGTGTCAGAGCTCCTTGTTTTCACAGATCCCTCTCGATCCTCCTCTCCACGGGAATCAGGCAGAAAGACCAAGCGTTTGGTTAGGTGGTGATGCTAAGGCAGCGTTTCAGCGACTTTCGTGGAGATGGAGCTGTTTGGGAAGAGATGGCAAATCCTGGGCACGGGGCTGCTGATGCTGGAGCTGATCCACGGCAGCTGGCTCCTTGGCACGGGTCAGCAGCCCTCACTTTGGACTCTTTGCAGATGCCTCTGGCTCTGTCAAGAATCGAAGGTTAAGCTGCCGGTGGGATGTCTGTTACTCCTAGAGACCAGCTCCTTTAGCTCTGCGCAGCTGCAATTCTCTGCTCCACATACCTATTAGTGGGGAACGTCACGCCTACTGCATGCAAAGCCTCTGGCTCCTTTTATTAAGGAACTGAAATAAAGTTGGTTTCCTTCTGTCCTATTTTTTTTCCTTTTGCACAAGCGGTGCCGGAGCCCACAGCTCCTGCTCCCTCCTCCTTTCCCTTCGGTGGCAGCGCAGACCAAACCCCATGGCTGCAGAACAGTTTTTCCAGCAGCAGCATCTGGTGCTTTGGCAGGCTCTTCTGATGGTTGTTGTGTTTGTGGCTTTGGAGTTGCGTTTGAAGCCATCACATGGTTGGGGTTTCTTCAGGAACTGGCTGGGCTGAGCTTTCCTTGACAAAAGTTTCCTTTGACTGAAGTTTTGGAGGCTGAGAAATGTGTACGTTGAGATGTTTGTGGCTCGGAGTCTGTGCAAATTCCTCTCGATGGCTAGAGGCAGGCGCCCGCACGGGGCAGGGGTGACCGGGACCCCAAGGCATGCTCCGGGGAAATGTGGGTCCTGTAAATCTCGGTCCCTGTGACGCAGATCAGTGATACTGTGTGTTGCTTTGTATGTCCTCGCTGAACCAGCAGTACGGGTCACCAGCCTGGGCACATGCAAAATGGTGTTCCCGGCTGTTCCCACCAACGGGAGACCCCGCGTTGCACATCCTGAGAGCCATTCCCTGGCACCCGGGGAATTTGTGCCGGGCGGTGCTCCCAGCAGCGATGCTGCTGGCTGGGGCGGCAAGGCGGGAGGTCCAGGATAAAAGACGAGCAACAAAGTGGGATCCTGATAGCAGATGGTGTGCGCTGTTGGTTCCGGGCTCTGCAGGAAAGGGGCAGGAATCGTCCGGGGAGCGCTAGGTTTTGGGGGAGATCACAGGGGACGTCGTGATGCTCTTTAGTTCAGCTGGTCGAACCTGGTTTAGGATTTGCAGCTCAGAAGGAGACAGGCGCAGGGTAGTTTGCCAGGAAGGCTTTCTGAGCTCACCTCCCTCGCAAACGGGGCGTTAGACGGCTGGAAATGCCCCTGGGGACATTCATTCCCCGAAATGCCTTGGGGAGTCCAACCTCCAGCGCGTGCCCACCCCTCTCTAATGCAGCGATGAGGTGGGAGTCGGCAGCTCCTCCTGGGGGGGGGCTGGGGCGGGTGAGCCGGGACCCTCCCCGGCAGGGTGGGGATGCCGGCTGGCGAGGGGGAGCTGTGTCGGGGCTCTGCCGCTCGCGTTTCGGGGCTGTCTGCACCGCCGAGTGCCAGCGCTGTGCAATTGCCCTTCCTGAAAACGTTACACGTGTAGTCGGGGGAAGAGCACGACTGCCATTACTGTGATGTTCGTTCTGCCTAAAGGTGAGTGATCAGAGACAAACCTGCGGTGAGAGGGTGACTCAGGCAGTGATTGGTGTGCAGGCTGTGGGATTGCTTCATACATTTTCATACAAATGCTCTTCTCTCCTGCCCCAAATGGTTCCCCCAAATGGTTGGCGTTCGCCAATTCGTTTTCTGCTCTGAACCGACTGAGCTGAGCTGCTCGACTCTCCTGGGATGGGCTTTTAGGTTGAGCCTGAGCAGGAGCTGCTGCCTCCGGCAGCTGGCTCCCGTGAGTCGCTGCTGCCAGGGAAAGGGCCTGGCTGCGGGAATTTGGTCCTGGGATCTCCAGGTGGTTTGGGCACCTAGGTCCTTCCCATGTCAAGGGGACATTAGGGACCCGAGTGCCTTTCGGCATTGGTGCGTAGGTTCTCCTGAGCTCAGGAGGAGTTCCCTTGCCGGGAGGCAGCATCAGGCCATAAGTTGCAATCCCAAATGTGGGAAGAGAGGATGGCCCAGTTATCCATGACAGTCATAGTCCAGGTAAGAGCACGGCATCGGTACATACCTCCTCCCCGATGCAGCACACAACCCTCATGCTGATCTCCAGGTCCTGCCCAACGGCAGGAGCAAGCGCTGGGGCCATCGGCAGCACGGCACGGAGGGGCAGTCGGTGTAAACGAGGTCAGAGAAGGGCTTAGCCTCCAACTGCCCTTCCTGCGGCAGCTACACGGCCGTGCCCGTGCCGCCCGTGCGTGGCAGCACGTAGCAGAGCTGCAGAAAGCGGTTTGGTGCTTATTTTCTGCTTCAGCTCCTAGCTGTCCCATCCCGGTCCATCCCGAACATGCACCATTATAGACCCCGATCCTACCAAGCGCTCCCAACACCCATGCGTTTGCTAAGTCTCCTTGATGCCAGTTGGTGATACTTAGAGCTAAAGATACTTGGCACCCCGTGGGTCCAAAGCTATGGATAAGTCACTGCTGCATTTCGCATCATTACGAAGCGGTAACTGGTTTGAAAGCGGGGAGACGGTTCTTGTAGCGTCCCCTCTGCACGGCTCCCGACCGGGCTGCTCTGCATGCCTGGGGTTTCTTGGAGAAAGGAATAAGTCTGCATTATTTTGCCTGGGTGAGGCCAGTTTTTAACTGCTGTTACGGTAGTCATCAACTGAAATCTGTTGGGGTTATTCCAAAGATGGTTTTGGCACAAAGGTTTTTTTGGAATGGCTCCCATGTAAAACTCAAAACTGGAGGGTTTATTTTTCCCGCTGACAAATGATCATTTGAGCAGGAGATTTTTAATAAAATCAGTGAGAACTGCCCGTGTAAAATGAACCCACCTCTCTCCCCTGTATTTTTCTTGCATGGAGTGGAAAGTAAACACTGTCTGGCTTTGAAACACGGCTACTATTTTGACAGGTTCCTCTTCAAAAAGTACTGCTCGGGTTTCTCTTTAGCCCCATTGTGCTGTCTAAACAAAGTTAGATTTTTATTTTGTAAGCGAAGTGAAAAATCTGTCTGCATTTCTCCAGTTATTTGGCAGGAACGTAGCAAATACCAATTTTGCTTTTGCTTTTCTTTCTTTCAGTGAGTCCTTTGGTCAGGAGGGGTTCCTGGCTTGGCAACCCCAGGACTGTAAATCCTCTGTTTATCCAGACTCAGGCAGGTGCAATGTGAATTCCCTCCCCTGCTCGCCCAGTACATTTCCACTGCTGCACCACGGGGAGAGCAGAGGTTATTCCCTCTGACCCATCCAGTCCGCAGCCTTTCTGCTGAGGCTGTTTGCAGGTCTGCTGCTGGCCGACACAATAAACCGATTCGTTTCTTAAAATCATTGCTCCGATAGCTGCACAGCTTGGGCAGGTTCAACCTGCGGGCCAGACTCTGAAAAACTGCATGTCTCACCTCCGTTTCCATCAGCCACCCACATTTTGGTTTAAGGGCAATATCCTTCCCCCTCTGAAAATTAATAGGAGTTTTAGCATGGACTTCTGTGGGAGAATGACCTAACAGAGTAAGTAAAAACTGTTGAAGTATTTTGCTTGGCAATACAAGTTGTACTTATTTATAGGGTGTTTGTCCTGTTTACCCAAGAGGAATAAATCCAGTAGAAGTTCAAAGCCATTTAGGAAATACTGATTTTTAGCTGAATGTCTACATAGCTAGGAGTTATATCCCTGGCTTTCCATAGGCAATGCTGGTCATCTGTCCTACTCCATTTACTTATGCTCAATACACTGCTTAAGTTCTATAGCTTTGGGTTTTTTTCACCCACCCCCCCCAGTATGAGTGTGAGCAGTTACTATCACCGAAAGGTCAAATCAAATCAAGGTCTGCTTCAAAAGGCTGCCGGTAGCATTGCTGTCAAACTGGCTTTGCAGCTGAATCCCTCCAGGAGATGCTCTTGTCAGTGATGGGGGTGCCACACCGCCGGGTTTGGAGGTCCCCATGTCTCCTGGAAGGTGTCTGAGCGGGGTTCGGGGTTACTCCCTTCTGCTGCTCCCGCAGGTCCTCACCCCAAAGCCCTGGTCCAGGAGGGCAACGTGGGTGGCTGCAGGGTCTCCAGCAAGTCCCCTGCCTTCAGTGGGACTGCTCATGCAGCCATACTAAGTTCACGTCCAAGGCCCAAACCTCTTTTTTATATAACCTACGGGATTCAGATTTTCTTAACCTATAGAGACCTTAGCCTACAGTTGGCCAAAAAGCAGCCGCTGTTCTCCCTTTGGCTTGGAGTTGTTTGCAGGTCTGGTCCAGGTCTCCACCGCAGGGGTGTGCCCCAGGGGAACTTGCTCACCGCAGCATCCCTGATGCCTCGTCTCACACGGAGTTTTCCTTTTTTTCTAAAAAATGCCAGAACAAACTGGGAAGAAGACAAAGGGTAAGAAAAGTGACCCGAGAAGGAAAGGAAGAGATGGTAGAAAAAATAGTCCCGAGAAGAAAGAGAAAAGGAAATCAGTCAACGAAACTGTATTGGGACAACTGGGTAAGTCTGATTTTATGGGCGCAGAGTTGACCCGTGCCGCTGGAGGCTCCCTGTTTCAGGGAGCAGGGTTAAGAGTCCCAGCCCCTGATCCCTCCTGCACGTACACGGTGGAGTTACACTCGGGGCTGTGGGAGCCTCTTCCATCTCTCCCTTGTGGGCATCAGCCTGAATTACCGAGGTCCTACGAGAGAGGCCACATCGGAGACATGGTCCCTGGCGGGGCAGGGGGTGTAAAATCCCTTCCCCCCCCCCCCCCCCCCCCAGCCCCAGGGCTTGCGCCCGGATTGGGAGAACGTGTTACAAAACCTGCGATGCGCTGCTGAAGAGTGATTTCGCTTTCCGGTGATAAAATCAGACTTACCCACCCTGCAGTAGGGCTAATCCCCCGGATCTTCTGTGCTGTGCACCGATGGTGAACACAGCACATGGGCCGTGCATTTTCATGGCATATACTGTCCAGGACCCTGCGGTCGCGCCGGTTGTGCCGGCGGTCCGGGAGCATCCACGAGGCAGGCACAAAGCGCGGCCGGTTTCTTGAATTTGCTCGGGGGATGAGGAGATGCAGGCTGGCTCTGCAGATGCTTCACCCACCTCCGGCTCTTCCCCGTCAGCTACAACCTACCGCCGCTCGGCAGCAGACGGAGCTTGGGGGGGGGAAGTAAAAAAACAGAACAAAAAGGACTTTTCTGACAAGATCCTTGACAACTGCATATGGTTTTTACACGGAATTGAGTTTTTGTTCGACTTCCTCCGGCGCTGTCACCTCCGCCAGCATGCGGGGCGGGAGGTGATGAGTTCACGTGTGCTCAGCTGCCCCATGGGTGCACAGGGGGTGCACAGGTCCCGTGGGGCTCTTGGACAGTCTGGGGGTGCTATAAAACCCTCATGGGGGTACAGAGAGTTTCTGTGGGAGGTCTGGGAGTCTGGGCCACCCTGCCTTGCTCTGCTTTGCCCATTGCTTGCCCAGACTCTGCTGCTTTCTGTTCATCTCAAAGCTGTTGGTTTTTAGGCAGGAGCCCCTTTGGAAACGGGGCTTTTGCGCTCATCCTGTCTCTGCGCTGTTCTCAGCTAAAGAAACTTTGGATTTTCTGGGGCAAATTCCATCAAATGATGGAGGGCTGGGGCGTCTCTGAGAAAAGCTGCACTTCTGCGAGCCGGGGAAACCAGGCAGCCGACCCAAAGCTTCACCGGGGTCTTGTAACCTCCTGGATTTTGTTAAGGGCTTGAAGCATCACTTGGGGCCGCAGTCATCAGAGAAGGGCTGAGGGAAGGCGAGCTTGGCAGTGCCCTTGCCAGCAAGACCTCAGGCTGTTTGGTGCCTGGGTACTACACGATGCCCTAAGCTCATCCCTACTCCTGCTTCCCCTCCCCTGCATTGGGCTGGTGTCAGGCCGGGGGCCTGTCTTCTCCAAAAGGACCGCGGTGACCTGCCAGGAGGTGCGGGACTGCCACCTTGACAGTGTCACCTCTGAGGGGGGGATCCGACCTGACCGACCTCCCCGGTGCTGCCCTTGAGCAGCCCCGGCATTGCGCAGGGTGTTTTGTTTGTCCCCCCCGTGGCGCGGGGTCACGGCCTGTATTGCTGCTCACAGCGAAGGGTGATGCAAAGCTGTCATCGAGACCAGCAAACATGGCGGACGTGAGTCACCCTGCTCGTGCCACTGCTCTTTCCCTCTTCTGTTGCTAGACTGACTGCTTTAAAAGGAAAGAAAGAAAAGCAAACCTAATTTTTCCTCCATCCGTAAAACCAGCTCTGATGTTGAGCCCATTGGTTTCTTTTCTGGGGATTAAAACTGCGTGTGCTTGTGCAGGTATGTGCCTTTCCAGTTGCTAATTAGACCCAGCCCAGCCCACAGCGCTCGCTCTTGCTCTCAGAGATAATTACTAGGAAGTTTTTCAGCTTTTTCCGTTCCAGCCTGTCATCTCTGCTTCTCTTCTTCAGCTTTCACACTTCTCAGATGTGTGCCTCCCGAGATGTTCTCGGATCTGCCTCCCGCCCTCCCTGCCTTTGCACGCAGATTTAGCACCGGTCCCATCACCCCACTGACCGCCTGACTCGGCTGGTGTCCGGGGTTTTGGCAGCGCGTGGTGGCCCGGTGGCAGCTGCTCCCTGGGGAACCTGTCACCCCTCACCTGGGCCCAAGTCCCGCTCTGGTAGCAGTCACCAAATTTTTAGGCTTACACCTGGATTTTTGTCTACTGCTTTTGCATGGGAATGTATTTTCTACCTGTGCTGGGGTGGGTTGGAGCTTGGCGTCTTTGCTGCAGAAAGATGCTCTGTTTAGATTCGGAGAGGTTCGCGGAGTGTTGGATGTGGGGGAGCACTCGGGTGGTTGTGCTGTGACCACAGTGGACCCCAAATTCAGCATTAGTGCTGGAGTAAACCCTCTTCTGTACCCTGGTGTGGTGCGTTACGGTTGACCTTCTGCGAGTTTCTCCGGTGCCGGGGAGTTTCGGTGAAGTCGGTGGCATTGTCGAAGGGCAGCGTGGCTGTTTCTGGCTCCTGAGGCAATCTTCCCCTTTTGCTTTTTTCCAGGCTTGTCAACTTCCTTCCCCATCGACGGGACCTTCTTCAACAGCTGGTTGGCGCAGTCGGTCCAGATCACCGCCGAGAACATGGCAATGAGCGAGTGGTCCCTCAACAACGCCCACCACGAGGACAGCACCCCTGGCCTCTCCGAGGAGCTCCTCCAGGACGAGGAGACCTTGCTGAGCTTCATGATGGACCATTCCCTCAGGTCCCCGTTCAAGCAGAGCGAGGCCACAAAGAAAGTGAAAAGCAAAACGAGAACGAACACTAAGAAAAAGCTGCCCAGGAGCAGCCCCCCCGCCGTGGGTGGGAGCCACCCGGAGAGCTCGGAGCCCTGGACTAACAACGCCAGCGACTTGTCGGATGACGCCGCCAAGCCCTTCGCTCCGGATTCCAGACCGAGCAAGTCGGAGAAAGGGGCGGCGAAGCTTCCCGCCGACCGCAAAGGGACGGGCGAGGCGAAAAAGGCAGCCAAGAAGGGCTCTCTCCCGAAAGCCGGTGAGCCTCACCCCCCGGCTGGGGCGAGGGGCTGCGTCAGCAAGGAGGAGGAGGAGGAGGAGACGCCACGCTGCGCTCAGCCGGAGCCCAGCCCCGCGGCCAAAGTGCCTGACTCCATAGGTAGCCCCAAAACCGTCATGCGGTTCAAATTACCAAAGGAGAGCCGAGGGACTCGGAGGTCGCAGCCCCCCAAGCCCGACGGCGCCGGCGGAGCTCCCTTGCGTCGTTTCGACGCCGAGACGGACGGCTACTTCTCCGATGCAGAGATGAGCGACTCGGACGGGGAGTCGCGGCGGCAGGGCGCAGCGGGGCCAGCTGGATGCGGCCGGCGAGGACATCGTCAGGATGAGCATCCTGGCATCCTAACTCCTCCCGACCGTGCCGGCTCGACGAGGCCTCAACCCAGTTACAACTGCCATGTCCAATTTCTGCCTGCTATCATAGCAAGGGGGATTTTTAATATGTGTATATAGTTGGAAATTCGGCACTGTTGTCTTTCTCTTCTCTATACGCCTGAGATACAGCTTCAGCTTCACCGACATCGATGACCGTGACAGTAGTGGTCCCTCCCCGGCTCCCTGCCAGACCCCACTTCCCGGGAACACGAGCTGGCGCCCGGCGGGACCGATGCCGAGGGTGCCGAGAGGGCGGAGGGTGCCGGTAGCTGTGCTTTCTGCAGGGATGACAGTTTAATTAATGGGCATTATTTAACGAGGGGCAGATTTCTGCCCAGGACGGTTGCCCCCAGAGCAGGGAGCGAGTGGAGAGTATGGTAGCGGCCAGCTGCGGGAGGGGAAATAACCCGCCTGTGTGCGCGTATACGAGGGAGCAAAATAAGCGATACTAAAATAAATAATGACTAAAGCACAAAAAGCTTGTTGGAGGAAAGCGCTTGGGGTGGAAGAGAGCAACGTTGCGTTTCTATTTTTAGAAAATAAAACCTCGGTCATTATTTTTCCCCTCACCTTTCCATCTGGTTGAGATCCGTCCAGGGACCAGGATGCAAAATTTCTCCCTGTCCCTGCCCCGTGGGTCGGCCCCGTTGAGGTCGTTAGAAAAACTGAAGTGATTTACTCAGGTGAATTGATCAGCTCTTAGCAAGCTGGAAAATGGAAATGTGGGGCAGGATGGAGGAGAAAAGCACCCTTTAAAAACACCGTGGGGAGTCGGGGTTGGTTTAACCCGGGAGGCTGAGCGAAGTTTTCCTGCCCGTGCTTCTCTCCGATGGCTGCCGTGGTCCCACCGTGCCGGGGCGGCACGTTTGAAATCCCCTTTGCACAACGAAACGCTTGGCCCCGAGGCCAAACGTACCGTCACCGAGGGGAAATGGAAACGCTTGCCTTCACCATTTTGTTTTCCTACTAAACGCTACAATGGAAATGGTGAATTATTCCTCCCCCACCTTTTTTTTTTTTTTTTTTTTTTTTTTTATTCCTTGAATCCTGGTTACAAGCTGTTGACTCGTTGTGGGAGGGTGATTCACAGAAGCTGACATTATAAATATTACAATAATTTAATGCATAAAATGTCCCCAATAAGCCTTAAATGTTGTTTAAAAGCCCATGTTACCTACAAGTCAGGCGAATTTCCATGTTTGCACTTAATTGCACCATTACTTCGGTTTTGGCTTCAAAGGTCACAGTTAAGTCGTGCTACGTGTTTTATTGGAGTGACCCCAGTGTGAGCTCAGGGAACAAAAAAAAAAAAAAAGGAATTCACTGAAACTTTTGTTGTTGTTGTTTTTTAAAAATAAAAAATGTTTTAAAAAAACTTAAAAAAAAAAAAATACCAAACCTGGGACACTTCTGCAACCGGTTAAACCCATCACTAAACAAAAAAACCTTGCAATTGTCAAACCAATCAGTCAAATAATTTTGTGGATGCCAAAGAATATTTTGACAGTCAAGCAGCACAGCCAGAAACCGGAAACTTGTCATTATGAAAAAATTGGAAGTTATTTAGCAACAAAGGACTAAAGACACACTCATAACACACTGCTGCGGCGTTAGGTTCCAAGCTTGCTCCGAGGGATGCTGCTGCTCCGAGACTGCATCCTGCCGTTTTGATTTCCGATGCTTTTTGCTCATTTCACTGTGAGCTTTCTTTTGAAACTCTGAGACTCCTTCAATTGATGTTTTAGAGTAGATCATCTTTATCAGCCTTCCAAAGTCCTTATTATTGATAAAATTGCAGCAAAGATAAGCGATGACAGCCTAGCTCATCCCAGGCATGGCGAGCGTCAGGGGCTTCAGGTCGGATGCCGAGCGCCTGCACCCAGCCCTGGCTAAGCCCAACACTAACCCGGCTGAGACTGACCGTGCCTGGGGAGGAATCTTCCTCAGATGGGAAAAAACGTTACGCGAGTTATTAGCAGGAAAAAAAAAACAAACCAACCAACCAACAGAAAATCGACAAAACGGGAACCACCTTTGTTATAAATTAGCATAATCCATTGAGGTTGGAAATGAAAATCTGCTCATTAATTAAGGCTCAGTATGTTCAGATAATGTTAAATACAGTAAATAGGACTTAGTTTATCTTATCAGGCTTGCTAGCTTTAGCTACAGTATCCTAGTATAAGAGTCATAACAATAATCAATATGCTGCCTTTTAATGAATCTTGCTTCCGTGTGCTTCACTCAATTATGGTTAAAAAAAAAA